TTTCGATCGTGATCCCGCAGTCAAGGATCATTAACTGAACTGCCTCCACCTTCGGTGATCTGGTTTCCAATGGATGTGTTATATTTATCTAAGACCATCTTGTTTGCTATTTCTAATCTTCTTGAAAGGAACAACAGGGCTAGCAAGATTGTCCTATATGTACATAAACCCGCATGAAAAAACATTTGGTGAGCTATCGTGATTTGTGATTGACACTACATAATGGGCATTTCTTACTCTTCCATCAGCGTTTGTTGCTCTAGAGCCGTCAATGATACCTCTTTTAGTGCCGGTTGGTGACACAACCGATAGAAGCCCTCAACTGCATTGAAGTCGATCTCCTAGAGCATCAATGCCGGTTTGTAGCACCAATCGACACTTAAAGTAAGTTTGAGTGCTGATTGATGCTACCACCCAAAATTTACAAAATATTTGAAATTTTCAAATGATTTTAGACAAAGAAATGTCCTGAACGAAAGTTGTAGTTTTATCGGGTTAGCCAAAAGAAAAAAAAAAGGTTGTAGAAGTGGGCCTGGGCCCTGGGTTAGGATTGTTGAGCCAGACTCTATTTAGGCTGTTAAATACAGAATATTTAACACAATCCTAGTATTTAACAAGCAAGGAGCAACGAACGTACACAGCAAGAGAATGCAACGTACAGTACATGTAACGCAAGGTGGAGAGAAGACCGGCCGCCGGGACGCCGACTGTATGAACCATGCTAATGTCCAGTGCTTCAGTCCGGTGCATGAACTAGAGTGCTAGACGAATGTTCAGTGTTTTCAGTTCAACAAGCTATTGCGTTTCTGACATATTGTTCAGTCCTTACTGTTAATTTGTGAGTTGGCCTTTTGCATTTCTGAAATAATTGTTTTCAGCCCTTGTTAACCTGTGAGGGTGCTTTTGCATTTCTGAAATAATAGTTTTCAGTCTTTGTTAACCTGTGAGCTGTTGCTTTAGTATTGCTTAAGGAGTGTATCATTTGCTGAGCACAACAAAAGCCACACACATTCAGCTTGCGTTCCTCCTATAAACTAATTGCATGTTGCCAATTAGAAAAAGCACAGTAAAGTAGAAATTATAGAGAAAAAAGTAAAGCAAAAGAAAATAACGTGAACAAAAGAACTATGTTGAAACATCTCATCTTAAACATAAGTTGAGATATATTACAAAATATTAAAAATGCGGGTTTTATTAGTTAGACACCTCCTCAAAGAGAAGATTAATTATTATTATTATTATTATTATTATTATTAAAATTAAAATTAAATTTAGTTAAATAACAAAAAAGTATAAACCTTTTTGTTATTTTGAATAGTATATAAACATTTTCAATTTTATTTGTTGGGCACCTCTTTAAAGAAAAGACGAAAGAACAGTTCGCTTTGTGCTCACCACGCAGCTGCGTGCCTTGAGCTGCTGCAGCTAGCCCACCTCATGTACGATGTACCGCCTCCTCCTTCAGCTAGCGATGTGGTGCTATCTCCCCGCGACGCAAGTACGCAACGACTCGCCCTACTGCCCACACGACGGCTACCTTTCCATTCGGCCCACGACCGGTAGACTAATAATAATAGGCCGGCCACATATCTCATTCGCATGGGAATAATGGGCCGCTTTCTTACCTTCTGTGGCCCACTAGATGCGTTCGGCTGGTCTGCTCCGACTCTCGGCTGGTCTGCTGACATAAGTCACTGCTGCTACAGTGCTCGAAAGCAGTCGCTGCGGCTGGCTTCTAGTCAGGTCTGCTGATGCTGCCCTTTATTTTCTCTTCTCTTCTCTGTGTAGTATGGATGGATGGATGGTCCAGCCGTCCAGCCGCGTAACACAGTAGTATCCTCCTCCTGCCATGCGTGGTCCTGGTCCGTATCGTACGTGATCGCTTTCGCCATTGCAAGAATGCTTCAATTCGGCCGGAGAGCGGCGCGGCGCCCTGTACGTGGAACGCCAAACACGTCCGTACGTGTGCCCGGTGCGTGTGTTTGTTTACGCTGCAATTGCCTGCCTGCCTGCCTGCATCGATCTAACTGGATTACTGGAGTACGTTTGGCTTGCTGAGAAACTGTTGATCAACAAATTCTGAAGATTCTTCTTTAACCGAGACACGTGGTCGCCGTGGTAAAAATCTGCTCCTTTGATCATCAACTGCTTAGTACAGCCAATCGCATGGCCGACAGATCAGACCATATCAGCGCGTGGTGGACCAAATTGGCGTGCACATTACCTGTCTCTAGTCTAGTAGACTTAGACGGGGGCTAAGCTCCATCATCATCATTCTTAGTACTTGTTGTGTCATTACAAGGAGCGCAACGGGAAAAAAAAAAACACGACCATAAAGAGGCATCAAACCAGCAATTTCTGTACAATTAGAAAGAGTAAAGCATCGTATTGGATGGTGGCGGGTGCAAACAAAACAACCACCATGTTGTAAAGTCTGCTTGTATGTTGCGAAGTTTATGTACCAATCATCCGAAAGATGCAGTTTTTTTTTTATTTGGAAACCACCACACGAAACTCTAGACGATACCTCCCAGCTCTTGCAAGTCGACAGGTAGCTAGGGGCGACCATGCATTCTCGACCGATGGACCATTCGCGACGCGCGCGACGACGGGGCCGCACGCAGGCAGCATGAGTGCACGCGTGACACGACAACGTACGGGCCGGCCGGAAGAACCGCTCGCTCGTCCGCCAAAGCCGGAGGTACGCTCTGTTGCCGCGTCACACGTTCGTCCCGCGACGAGACGTATACGCGTCCCGAACGCCCATGCACTTCCGCCGCGGCATCCTATCCATCCATCCATCCACACGATCGACGCATGCCTGTGCAAGTGGATGAGGCCTAGTTTAGCTTCTTGCCCTAAAATTTACTTTCTATCTCATCAAATATTTGGACACATACATAAAATATTAAATATAGACTTAAAAAATAACAAATTACACAGTTTGTGACTAATTTATGAGACGAATCTTTTAAGCCTAATTAGGCTATGATTTGACCACGTGATGCTACAGTAATTTATGAGACGAATCTTTTAAGACTAATGACGGATTGGTTAGGCTTAATAAATTCGTCTCGTATATTACTGATAGATTCTGTAATTATTTTTTTTATTAATATCCAAACACCTCGTACAATACTCACATATGATACCCGATATAACACCCTGAAATTAAACCATGCCTGAATTCGTCGCTGCCGAGCGGCACGGAAAAGATGAGGCGAAACTGGGAAAGACATGCGGCCTCTCTGCGGGATTCAGACAGGAATATCTCATGCGAGTACGTAGTTAGCAGATCCGTGCGTCGTAATCGCTCCGTGCATTGTACTACCATGCATTTATAGTTCCCGCAGAGTAGTCCCACACACGAAATTCTCGTTTTTAAAAAGTCGAACGATTTGAAATTCAATTAAATTTATATAAAAAAACACTAGCATCTACCAAACAAATATTATTCGGTTCATTGTGGGATACATCTATATATCAAACTTAATTGAAGATAAGTATTGACATTGTTTTTTTCGGAAATGCTTCTTTTCGAGCGCGCGCACTCACGACGCTCGTTCGATGCGCGCAGGGAAGGAGCCCGTCCGATTCGCGCTCGCGCCCGCCCGCGTCCGCCGTCTTCTTCCTCTCCCACGTCTTCTTCCCCGGCTCCGCCGCGACGGCTAGGGTTCTGCCACCCGCTTTTTCCTAAACTCCGGCGGCCTTAGAAGGAAGGGATTTGGGGAGGAAGGCCGGCCAGACGGTGGGGATGGTTGGCAGACGGTTTAGGAGCCCTGCCGGCGGTGGAGGCGGTCGGGCTAGGTCGGAACAGCAGCGCCCTTGCCGGAGGTCGCCATGGCCGCATGCGGGAGGGGGCGAGGGCAAGACATGGGGAAGAAGAAGGCCACCGCAGACACGCTAGGGCTTTGCCGAAGCTCCACACGTGAGTGGGGCGGTGGGAGGTGTTGGAGGTGGGGGGCGAGGGCAGGGCGAGGGTGGCGAGGCGGATTTGGAGGCGCGAGGGAGGAGGCGATGGGGGGAGCATGGGAGAAAGGTCGGGTCGCCAGAGCCGGACGGGCAAGAAAGAAGGAGGCGGGCGGGGCGAGGAAGACGAGGTGTGTGTGCGGGAGTCTATCCGTGTGCGCACGTGAAGAGTAGCACTGCCCTTATTTTTTTTATAGGGTGGCAAATGGTATACTGAACTGCGTAGAGTTACCTTCGCTTCAGCTACATGTAGATACTACTAGATTGCATCTTTCCTTTAGTTGGGCCAGAAGAGACAACATGTTTTCTTTAGTTTGGGCCACCTGAGACAAAGCCCACCAAGACGTAGCCCTTCATCAAGATGCTTCTACCGATACAGGCCTGTTTATCTTCTCCAACGCCTTTTTCCATCGTCGTCGCCATGAGATGCAGTTTTTGAGGTTAGTGGACCTACACGTATGGACCAGTTTCGCCTCCACGAGCTTTCGCCCCTGCATTTGATCATCTAGGTGGTTCAATAGGAGGTTGTCTATTTTATTAAGAAATAATAAAATATTAGTTTAATCTCCTTGAGTTTATAATCATCTTTTAAATAAAAAATATCTGAAACTATTGTCAATTGAGGGGCTGTAGCTAGTGAACAGTTGCGCTCGGCCGTGAAGCGTGCAGTGGCCAAAACCTGCCTTTTGCTTGCTCAATCAGGGTGATTAAAACCCACTTGATTCTGCTTGCACCACAGCATTCGGAGCATTGGTGGCTCCTCCATGCGCCGACATGTGTCTCTGCCTATCTTGCGGAAAAGCCCTCCAGTTCTTTGGAAACTAACCCTCAGTCCAGTCAATCGTCCCTAAACGGTGAGATTTTGCAGAGAGCTCCCCACCTGACCCGAACCCTAACTACCCCCCTCCTCCTTCCTCTCTCTCCTTCCTCTCTCCTCTCCCAGGCGTCGATGCGCCTCGCGTATCACCGGGCGCGCCTCCCGGCTCGCCGCCGTCACTCCTCCACCTCTTCCATGGCGTTCCTCCGCCTAGCTACCGGAACCTCATCTCCCCCACCGCCGCTCTATCTCTTTCCCTACTGTCTCCTTTTCCCCTCTCTGCCTCTGGGAGACTGAGAGGTGGTGCGGGTGCCGCCGGCGAGTTGGAGCGCGGTGGCATCCCATGGAGTGCCAACCTCCAATGGATCCATGGCTTGGAGGTGCCATTAGCTCGCGAGGATCCGCGGCCGGATCCAAGATGCGAGGCACCAAATCGGTGGAAGGGACGGCTGTAGCGTGACGCCGGATCTGGCAGTTTCCACGGACACATTTCGGCGTCCTTGATTCTCCTCCCGGCCTTCGGCGTTGACGAGTTCCATAAGCTGCTGACCGCGTCCCCCTGCTCCTCCATGCTACCAACACCACCCCTAGCAAGGGTCCCCGTTATCGATCCACACATCAGGCCCCGCGGTGCTGCCCCTGCAAGGCCGCTCGTCGTCGATCTGCACAGCATGCCATCGGCATCGCCCCCAAGGTGAGGCCTTCTCCCTCACGTGGATTTGTATGCAGCCTAGGATAGATGCAATATAGGACTCTTCAGGCCATTGCGCTCAAGATTCCCTCTTCTGTTGCTCAGTGTTGGTGACGCCGAGGAGGATGAGGAGCACCTACTGGTAGTTGGTGGCCGATGGATTCAAGAACATCCGGATGATGGACAGGGAGTCTGCACTCCGAGGTCAAGAAAAGTAATGTAGTCCATTCCTCAATTTTTACCTTAGCTTGTTGGGTTCTAATTGAAACTATTGACTGATGATTAGTTGGTGGGCATTTAATCTGGATTTGCTTTATTTTTTGAAATATACATGTAGGTATATATGCAGGATGAGCTAAAGGGGGTTCGTCACCTGTTGAATCAGAACCTCAAGCTCAAGAGGCAGTGCAAGAAGGTACCTCCGTTTTCTCTTTATTTATCCAATTAGCAACAGTATTACCATGCAATGATCATGACGCTCTAGAAAAGGCGTCAAGTTTACTCAAAAAGCTCATCAAATAGTTATGCACTGAGTGCTCAGCCCACCATCTTGACCAATATATGATATACAAGTAAAGTTCATTCAGCATGTATCACCAACAAAAATCTTTTAAGCCAGTCCACTCACCTGGCCTCGAAAGAAAATGACTTGCGATAAATGTACTACTAAATGTAAAATCGGAACAACCACCAAAAGATAGCACCCTAGCCTCATTTTAATTGTTCGCAGCTGCTGATGATAGAGTAATCTCAGTTTTAATCCCTCACAAGACACATCGTATTCAGTATTTTCCATGGCCTGCGACTGTATTTCTCTTCTTCTTTTTTAAAGGTTCTTGATTGATGTCAAACCTGAAGTTGCAACTTACACTATCGCCATAGCTTGAAAAGGATAAAAATAAGCTTACACTTAAACTAGGATACTAGAATAGTGATGTTGATTAATATATCTGTTAAATGTATGATTTTCTCTGTTTCTAAGGCTGAGTTCTCTATAAATATTGAAGATTTCACCCATGTGTTTGATTCCATAAAGATTCTTTTGGAACTGGAAATTTATAAACTCAATGAGTCTCAAGTCATCATGAAGAATGTTGACAAGATCACTTGATATCCCACTCAAACCATCTTGTGTCCTCTAGGCATCGAACTCACAATGTCTCCAATTTTCTCATTCCATTTTGCCAAAGCTCTGTGGGTATGATAATTGTGGGCTTAATTTCAGAGTGGGAACTATTTGATTATGATAAAGCTAAAAATGACCTATTGAAATTACATATGGGTTGTGTAGTTAACAGAAGCTGTTCTTTCTTGCTTTATACAATCTAATCATTTTTTAAAATTATACTTATTCCGAATTACTATTTGGTCGAAATTGCTTAATAGTGAAATACAAGAATATTCACAAACATGAAGGAAACAATGATACTGTAAAGCAAGACTTCCCATGTTTTTTTTCTTCTAGATTCGACAGATCATAAGCTGACAATGATAAACAGTGAGATGCTTCACTTATTTGGTTGTTTTATTATGATTATTTCTTTGTGCTATCCTTGACATGGTTATACGTAACAATGCGCAGCCAATAGCAATAGCTATATGACTGAGTAATTAGACAAGATTTTTCCTTCAAGGATGTAGGTCGTACACTTGCAGTACCTACATGGTGCTATTATAAATATCTCTGCATCCCTTGCAGGCAAAAAAGCTCTATGAATTGGCTATTCGTCTGGAATTTGGATTTTTTGGAGTTGCTGTTGCTTCATAATTTGTACTATGTTTCTGTTGGTGTATATATGCCTCATCTTAGATGCTGATGCCGTGGTTATGATAACAATTACTCTATGGCTATGTTCGCTTCGCTGATAAGTCATAGCTGAAAGTACTGGTCGCTGATTTGTTGTTAGAGAAAAACACTATTTTTTCATTGAAATAGGCTCATAAGACAAGCGAACATGACCTATATATAAATGTATGTGCTTAGATTTCAGCTACCATCTAATTATAAGGGGGTGTTTGGATTGAGCGACTAAATTTTAGCAGATATCACATGGGAGTGTCGTATTGGGTGAATAGTGTCAGTAATCCGCGAGATGAATTTATTAAGCCTAATTAATCCGTCATTAGCACATATATTACTGTAGCATTATGTTGTTAAATCATGGACTAATTAGGCTTAAAAATTCGTCTAGTGAAGTAGTCTTGATCTATGCATTTAGTTTCATAAATAGTCTATATTTAATATTCCATACATATGTCAAATATCTAATGAGATAACGACTAAAGTTTAGAAATTGGAGCAAACATCCCCTAATTCTTTATCTACGCAGCATGATAGTGGCTTCTATTCTTTAAATCATTTTGTAGGGCGCCCGAAGGCAGCTGTACACACAAAGTCGGCTAGGCATTCATTTATTCATTTGTTGATTCAGGCCTGGTTTAGATCTAGCCCGGAAAATTTTGAGGTGTCATATCAGATGTTATATGGGGGTGTCGTATATGATGCTCAGATACTGATAAAAAAATAAATTACAGAATCCGTCAGTAAATTACGAGACGAATTTATTAAGCCTAATTAATTCATTATTAGCACATGTATACTGTAGTATTTTATTATCAAATTATAAACTAATTAGGTTTAAAAGATTTGTCTCGTAAATTAGTCGCAAACTATGTAATTAGTTATTTTTTTAAGTCTATATTTAATATTCTATGTATGTGTCGAACATTTGATATGATAGAGTGTAAAGTTTGAGTGGAAACTAAACAAGTGCTCATTAATTATTCAGGATATGCAGCCGTCACGCACAACTATATGGCCCCGTTTGGCTTATCCGAAGAACAGGCTTATTTGGCTTCATTTTTTAACGGGAACAGTGTTTTTCTCTCACGATAATTCAGTCGGAACAGTATTTTTCAGCCAAACGAACATGGCCTAAACAGTGTTTTCAGCTAAATTCAGTTAAACGAACCAGGTTTCTTTTTTTTCAGTCGGAACAGTATTTTTCTCTCGCGACAGTTCAGCCCAGTTTAGAAAAATATGTGGAGCGAGTACAGCTGGTATTTTAGTTATTTATTTCCTCGTGTGACGGTGCGAGGACTGACGACGTTATCGAGATGTCCAAACGGAGACACGTACACAGTAAAGTACGAGTACGTACGTTTGCTTGGGCCAATCCAATGGCGGCGCGTGCGTGGCTGCACGACGACTGTAGCTGCACGCGCCATCGTTCAAATACCAGCGGCTACGGGCTACGGTACGCGCATGCCGTTGCCGTGCGAGCCGGGGTGCATTTGCGATTTGCGTCGTCCAGCTGAACCTGGCCTGCTCGGGTCTCCGATCCACTCGATCAACTCGAGTTTCCATCCACGCCCCGGCCCCACCATGCGCGCATGCGTCTCCAGCTGACCTACGAGGTCGGCACGGCACACACGTTCCCGCTTCGAGCTGAAAGCGACCAGTGCCAGGCAGCTACTGCATGCCGACTGAGTGACACGCAACAAACAGTGTACATATATAGGGGAGAAAAAGGCGGAGTATATAATCATATTTTGTACAGCAATGCAGTATGTACGACGTACTCCCTCCATCCTAAATTGTAAGTCATTCCAAGAATCTTGGAGAGTCAAAGTTTTTCAAGTTTGACCAAATTTATATAACAAAATAATAATATTTATCATACCCAGTAAGTATCATTAGATTCTTTATTAGTTATATTTTCATATTATACCTATTTGATGTCATCAATCTTTGTATTTCTTTCTATAATTTTAGTCAAATTTAAAAAAGTTTGACTCTTCAAGATTCTTGGAATGACTTATAATTTGGGATGGAGGGAGTACCTACGTACGATAGATCGCCATCACGATTCATGAACGCTACTAATAAGCAAATAGTCACGATTCACGAACGCTAAGCAAATAATATTTCCGGGTTGCGGCTCTGGTTGAACTTACGGCGAGATATTTTTTTGGAAAAAATAATCACGTACGGCAAAATGTTAGTACTAAACACGTCCACCACCACCGGATACGATAGCATTCGCTTGCTCCCAAGTTAAGTGCACTTCTAACATTTGTAAATTTTTTTCACAATGAATTTATATTTGGATGGTCCCCGTTCGATTTACCCAGAAACTGACTTATTCGGTTTGTTTTTTTCAGTCGGAATAGTGTTTTTCTCTCACAATAATTCAGTCAGAAAAGTATTTTCAGTCAGTTTCAGTTAAGTTTCAGCTAGTCGAACGGGCCTAGCACTAGTAGATTTTGCTACTTTCTTCATTTCATGGTATCATTGATTATACTAAGGGCGTGTATGGTTTGCGCCTCCTAAAGTTTAGTCACCTAAACCAGCTCTTAAACTTTAGTCACCTCTGTTTGGTTTGGTGAACCAAGAGACTAACAGCCTGTTCGCTGGTTGGTTTCTGTACTGATAAGCCTGACTAGTGCTGGTTTGTTGTGAGAGAAAAACATTGTTGGTTGGCTGATAAGTCCTGACTGAAATCAACAAGCGAACATTCTGTAAAAGAGGTCTTTTAGTCCCTTTTAGTCAGGGTGTTTAGCTCCAAAGCGACTAAAAGGTGAGGCAGCCTGACTAAAAGGTGAGGTTTAGTCCCATTTAGCAACATTTGAATGACTAGTTGACTAAAGTTCATTTAGTCTCATTTAGTTAAAGTGTTTGGAGAAAATGACTAAATAGGACTAAATGAGACTAGATTTAAAAGGTGAAGAGTAAACCAAACACCCCTAGCATATCTTAAAAGTGTTTACTTCGAGACAGAGGAGGTATATTTTTTTAATCTATATAACTTCTACACTTTGTAAAAAAAAGGGCGTAGATTTCTCACGCCCGCTAGGTTTTCTTTCTGAAAAAAAACACACACATCTTTTTATGATATATAGCTGTACAGTGGCCTTCTGCCCCATTCCGTGCGAAACAAATACACCATGCATGCTAGAGCTAGCAGTATACTACAACAATC